CTTCACCAAAATCTTTAAATTCAAACAGGTACACAGAGCTGATCAGGCTCTGCTTCCCAGATGCAAGGTAGCTTTGTTAGGCGCAGTCCCTTGCATCTGTTGCGCCCCCTTGCTGAAAAAAAGGCCAGCAAACAATCCAAATGAATCCCTGTGACTACAAGGGGTACACACACATATGAGACAGAGGGAGGGGGAGGGAGGGAGGGAGAGGGAGGGTACTGACTGCCTGTTTCCCCGTTGTTTGAGTCGCAGCGTCGCAAATTCAAAACCGTTTGCCAGGTTTGTCCGCCATTTGCGGCGGAGAGGCTGGGATGCAGCCCTAGTTGAATCTCCGAATGCCGCATGATGCCGCATGTCCCCAAAGGCCTTCCCCGTGAGCTTGGTGAAGCCTTTGCAGATGGCAGCGGGCGCTGGCGTGTGGAATGCTTATGGCCCTACGGACCGGGTGAAACTGTTTTCCATGATGTTCCGCCCTGATCTAGAAACCCTTGCCGCACCATCGTAATGCCTGAACCCAGCCATATGTCCAACCAATCTTTGCGAGGAAGCGACCATTTGGGCAACAACGTATGCCTTTGAGTCCAGTAGCTTGCTTGCCTTTGAGTCCAGTAGCGCCCAGAGTGTTCCCAACCAGATCGAGCCAGGCTTTGATGCTTCGGTGCCCATTGGCCTGCCATTGCCAAACGTCCGTCTTTGCATGGAGCAGGTGGAGGAGGTGAGTTGGTCGCATCAGTCGAGAAGGAACACCCGACCTCTCCCACACCCAGCAGTAAGACGCTGGCAGAATATACTTTCATAAAGACCCAGACTGATTCTGCATTTGGGGTTTTCGAGTCCAGGCTCGAGTGGAAGAGTCTGCTGACGGTTCTGGTGAGCTCCTGGTTGCTTGCCGAGGACTTCAGATCAGAAGGAATGAGCAATGCAGCGATGACCACACTGCCAGTAAGATGTCCAATGATGTCGAATGTATATATATATGTTGTATTTATGTGGTGAAATATGTAAATATACAGAAACTATATAAACACATATGTACATACACCTTTTGAATTGTGTCGTTTGTTTGGCCACCGTGTGCCAGCAAGCCCTGGTGTGTTTGTGGTCAGGAAGTGGTTTCCTCGGAATTTGTATATAGGAAAAGGGAAGGACGCAAGGAAGGGAATTAATCTGAAGGATTGTAAAGTCCTTGAAGACTGAAGAAAAGAACAACCGCAGAGTCCCATGGATTCACATGGGGTAGGTGTTAGTCCGACTACCAAGGTGGGAGGTATTGGTGTGGCACTAGGCTACCACTGCCGACCGGAACTCACAGCTAAGAGCTTCGTGCAGCGGTCTGGCGGCTGCGTGCTTGGGCAGATCATGGGTGGGTGAGATCCCCAAATTGAGTGTTCTACTTGGTGTATAGTTTCTTTTTTCATTTATACTCGGCTTTTGCCACCTGAATCGACTGCCATTCTCTCTCTCTCTCACTCTCTAATTGTGGCGGACATCACGATTCATTTTTCTGGCGGGGTATGTCCTAATTAGGATTTGAGACATTCGATTTGAGAGTAATTATTGTATTGCTATGCTGCTATGCAATGGTGAGGAGCCTTCTATGCATCTCCATGCAGGCTAGCTAGTTGTAGGAATGTAAGGCGGGCTTGGTATCCCGTCTTGTATTCGAGGACCAGGCACATGCAGGTGTCCACAATGAATGTGTGGCTTTGTTAAGCTGAGTCAGCGACAGAGTTGAGCTCAGGTCTATCGAACTGGAGATTTAGTTTGCCTTGGGGAAGGATGGGAGAACTTCCATGTTCCTGTGCAAGGGTCGAGTCGGCTGAGTAATCCCAAACCTTTGGATGGCCTGACCTTCGAGGGATCAGCCATCGCTGCTTCTCAGGAGGCTTCCAGTTTCTGGGCCGGATTGATCAGCAGGCCGGCCCATGCTGCTCACGCTCATTTTCATTCGACGGGCCGTGTTGGGGCCTTGGTCTCGTGATGTCTCCTGCAATCTACTCGATGTGTTCCAAAATGAGCTGCCTGCCGTCTCCGCGCCGCAGCCCTGCAGGTGAAATTTCGTGGCTTCCGCATCGAGCTGGGTGAGATTGAGTCTGTCAGGTGCTCACTTTCTCACTTCTCACGTTCGGGAATTACTTGATTAGCGTTGAATTGCTGGCTGGGCCAGTGGCTGCCTTTGCTACGAAGAACTGGCTTTGAGGAGAGCAGGTCGATGAGCAAATCCTCCACCCTGTTGGTTCACCTGACTCGATTGAATCCACGTGATCGTGAAGCTTATTTCTCAGGTGTTGGAGCGTCACCCTGCCGTGCTGGCAGCGATTGCAGCTTTGAGCAGCATGTATGGGGCCTTAGGATGCTTCGGAGAGCGTGAAAGAGTGCTAAGGAGGCGTGTGTGTGTAGACCTTGGAGTCACAGGTTTGCGCATGCAATTCTTTCTTTCGAAACCTTCTCTTATATTTTTCCTCATATTTTTCTGCTGTGATACGATGTGCGGTTCACAGACGTGCATTTGTAAGATTTTGTAAGTATTTTCGATCTCTTCGATCGTTGAGTCATTGAGCTTCGACTCACATTTTGGCAGCCGCGGATAGATGGTTGGTGAGCGTGCCATTGCCAATTTTGGCCTCAGCTGCTGCTAGCTTGAAAGTTGGACCTGAGATTCGAGCAATGGAGCCGCCTGTGGCTGGTCTGCCCCTGATAAAGAAGGACTCCGGAGACTAAGCAGCCGGGGAAGAGTTTTTGGGCGGGGGGATGCTTTTCAGCAGTGAATGCCCCTGAGGATGGATCAAAAGGAGATATCTCTGGCAAAGTTGTGGCGTGACTTGGTGCCCTTTTTCTTTTGGCACATTATATCGCATGTAACTAAGTCAGCACGGGTTGAGATTGGTGGATGGTATTCCATCAGCTCCTCCGTGCTGTTCCACAGTTGGTTGGCGTTCCATGTCTCGTGCTTCAACAGCATCTAAGGCTTTACTTCTCAGCACACTGGTGCCCACCTTGCAGAGGTTTCACCCCAGCATTGAAGCAGCCACCTGGCCGCGGCTTCCCAAAACGCACTTGAACACATTGGAGAAGCTGAAAGGCCACAACAAACTCATGGAGGCTAAATTTTGAATCAAGTAGCCCAATGATTGGTGGTTTGGGAGTTGTAGGTTCTACGAGACGCTGAAAGAGAAGGGGGAGGAAGTGGAGATCGTGTTCGTGTCCGGAGACAAGTCCCAAGAGGAATTCCAGGACTGGCATTTGTTGTGCCAGCTCTCGGATAGTCTGGGTGAGGTTAAGGTTCCTGAGTTTTCGACTTTTGAAAGCCAGGAGTATTTCCAAAATCATCATGGCGATTGGTTGGCAGTGGACTTTGGGGCAAAGAAAGAAATGCAAGAGCTCTCCCAACACTTTGGCATAGAGGGCATTCCCAGCCTCATCGTGCTGGACCACAAGGGCAAGGCCATTGTGCTTTGTTTAGTGACAGCTTAAAGATGCTTCAAGTTCCCCAGCTAGACGTCCTTTGCCAAATGTTTCTCAAGACCTTGCTCCTTTTGCGGCAGGCCATCACGAGCATTGAAGGCAGAAACGATGTGGCTTCTGCTCGCACTCCTGAGGCAGGGAACAGCTTACTGGGCAAACAACCTCCAAGACAAGGCTAGTGAAGATGCCGAGTGTCTCATCGAGGTTGTGTTCTTTCTCAGATTAATATTGTGGCAGGTCCATGGTCAGTCACATGTCCATGTGGTGTACCTGCAACAATCCCAACCCTTCATTCCACCCAGGGTTGACTCTGACCAGTGTGATGCCATGCTCATCTTCAGCAGTGCTCTCCTGGTTACTGCGTACACATTGCAAATAGATTGCATTCGATGATTCGATGCCTTTGCTGAGACACCATGAGGATGTTTACAACCACATACATGAAGTACATACATGAGGTCCTCATGAGTGCCTCATGAAGGCAGTGCTAGCTAAGCGTTTTTTGGTTTTTGAACTGGCCTTTGTGAGGCTGTCATGTCAACATTTGCAGCATGGAAGAAGGCTGCCGGCGACTGGCGTGAGACGGCTGGCACTGTGGCTCAGCTGAATGGCGGAGATGGTGGGCAGCATGGTTTGGGTTTCTATTAGGTTGACTGACCTGACCTCATGCGACCACGGAGTGGGAGTGTGATGAGACAGAGGGGCTTCGGAACCGCCCGAAAGAAACATGCTGGTTTGTCCTTTTTGAGACCTGTTCTGCCGTGTGATGCCATCCGGATGAGCCGAGACAAGGACTCAGGCAGGCGAGGCGACATCGAGATCTCGGGTGGTCCGACCTGCAGGCACTGGGTGGTGCCGCCGCGGCGCCCTCCGCAGGCGATGCGGCCGCGTTGCGGGCGGCACGCCTCGCAGCACTGGAGAAGCGAGGCGCCTGAGGCCTGAGGTGTTGGGCGAGTTTGACAAGATTAGGTGGAGTGGCTGAAGGGTTCATGCAAGTTTGGCTCAAATTCAGAGATAATTCTTGCAACTGCTAAGACTAAGGAGGGCTTGGAAGCCGAGCTGAAGATTCTACTGCTTTTTGAGACTATGTCAATCGGACCGTCTGAAAATGCTATATATATATATATGTATGTATATCCATCACAACACCCGTCTTTGTCTTCACTACTTGAAGTAGCGCCCTGTTTGGAATTGGGAACATGTGAACCCTCACACACACCCATACACACATATACTGTAATATTGTGATTGACACAAAGGTAGCAACAAAAGATCCTCCTTCCCTCGCACAGCCGCGTGCGTTTTCCACTCACAGCTCACCTGAAGGTTGGTACGAACGGTTGGGCGCCTCGCCCTGCAGTGTCCTCACTGCTTCTATGGCTCAGGTCACGGGTGACCCACCCTACACCACCCTTGCGGCCTCGCACACTCGTGGCTTCGGACGTGAACACACCTGAGTGGGTCAAGACTGGTTCCTCAGTGACCGAAAGGTTCGAAATTCACACTCATCAAAAATTCTATCAATCTTTTTCTTTGGTTGTGTGTCGATCATCCTTCTTGCTGCTGGTCTCCCATTAGAGGGATCCCGGACTCAAGCCACCTAAGGCGTGTTCTGCTGTCAGCTCGCTCTTTCAGCACTTGCAGTTCGTCATTTAGTTGATACATGCCTCGTTGCAAAGTGTATCGGAGGAAAGTTCCTTGCATCACCTTAGTTAGTGCATCAGCGAGCTGAGCTCCTGTATGAACCCATCTTAATTGAATGCCTTCGGATAGCAAATCTTTTATCGCCTTTGCTTGAAGTTGTGTACAGAATTCCTGGCAATTTGGTTGAGCAGTTCGGGTAACCAAATCATACAAAGATTTGCAATCTGTGACAGCTACTGATCGTGGCAAACACTGGGCTAAGGCTGTGGTAGATTGGATTGGTTTGGGTTCATTCTTAAAAACCTCATGTGGTCGTTTCCAATTGACTTGGGGATTTTGGATCCATGCCCAATAGACCAAGATAGCTGGTCTAAGCTTGTTTGGAGCGAAGTTGTTTCGGCTGACAAAAGTACTCGTAACTACTTTCTGGATCTTGCGGCAACCCCAGGACAACGGGCTGACTGGGCATTGATAGTTCTCACTTATATCCCTATGGGTGGCCAAGATGATCATGCCTGTGTGACTTTCTGGGCTCTTGGCCGACGCAAATGATGCGTCCGAGAATGTCAAGAATCTGAGATCCTTGATTGGGATGGGTTGGATTCTGATGCATGTGTCTTTGTATCGTTTTGCTTCACGAAGTACACGGTTGGCATCGTGCAACGTTTGGACCGTGGCTTTGTTGATCTCACTTTGGATGTAGCTTAGTCGACTTGAAAGATCCGGTCTCGTGTTGATGCTCGCGTACTGAAGACTTCCCACAAGTGCACGGAGCGAGTGTCTCTCTTCGGAGGTCACTTCATCCGTCAGACATGTTCGTCTGCTTGCATTCATGTGGATTGGCTCAATCTTGCTTACATACTTGGATTGGGACATGATGATACTTTTGTCTGCCTGTTGGTTCATCTCAACACCAGTGAACGTGAATTGACCTACTTTCTTTGATCCAAATGGGAATTTGGCTTCTAGCTTTGAGATTTGTTCTTCAAAGTATTGATCTCCTCCACCTAGTCCATCGTCAACATGAACTCCTAGGACCCCCGAAATTTTGCTTTGTCCTGGTTTGTATAGTACGTATGCGCATGGGTCGAAGGGTGCTGGAATGAAGTTCAAATCACGAAGGGTCCGATCCAATTCCTTATGCCACAAATAAGGAGCATCGATCAAACCGTAGGCTGATTTTTCGAGTTTGCAGATTTGATTGGGTTGAAGTTTCAATGCCTTTCGAAGTTCTTCAACAGGTTCCAGGCCTAGAGCTCGATCTTCCTGCGTTTTGCCTTGCAAAAATGCAGCTTTGATATCGAAGCTTTTCAGAGTCCATCCCATGGATGATATTGCTTGCAACAAGAGCATTTTGGATTGCTTTCCAAGTGTCGGCGAGTCCCGGGGTATGCTGTCTAACTGGGGATCTTGATATCCAAGGACTACTAGACGTGCTTTCGGTTTATGGGTCTTTGGTCCTGGTCTGACGTTCTCAGTTGATCCGGTTTGAAGGTCGTCAGCATCAAGGGGTTTCCATACGCATATCCAGTGGCAACGCATTACCTGTTCCGGACACAGCTGATCCCGAAAGATTTTACTCACCGTCCCTGTCTTTAACCAATTTGTGATCTCTTTTTCCTTTGCTTGACGGAAGAGAGCTTGTTCTTCGGTGGACAATTGGTGCATCTTTACTTCTGTTCGGTCACGCTTGGTGGTGGTAGTCATCATGATAAGATCTGTTGCTGGTGAGTTTTCATCCCATTTCATCATTGTTTCTTGGGGAAACAGGAATTCAGCTTTCCATCCTACAGCTTCTGAGTCTATTTGGGTTTGGCACCAGTTGACCTGATCTTCTACACTTAGTAGGGAGTCACATACGAGTTCATCACTGAGATCGGATGCTTCGCTTGGGACCGGCACACTTGCTGCATCCTGATGACCGCCGGGGTCACTCGGCAATTCGATGCTTTGTCGGCTCGCTGGAGACACTTGACTCTCTGGAATCGAGGGCTCTTGATCTGGCTGGACCTCTGACGAATTCGATGTGTTTCCTGTTCCTACGTGTTGTGGGATTATATTGCTATCTTCTTGGCTCTCTGGTGGAGTTGCGGGTGCTTGTCCACGAATGTTGGCATTTTGTGTATCTTCGCCTTCAATCCCTGCGATCGGACTTAGAGCTCGGGGGATATGCTGGGCTTCCATGGCACTTACGGGTCGAACATGTTCAGGGGCTATCTTTACCAAGCT